ATCAGATTCAAATTTCGCATGTAATTATGAAGTATTTTAGCTAAACTATAACTTTTTAGTCATATTTTTAGAGTTGAGCGTGTGTGCGAGCCAAAGTGGACCAATAATAGATGAAAAGGAATTATAAATCAATAGTCTATTTCAACAATGATTTGAAGAATGAATCGAACTAATAAATGGAATATGAAAATTGAAGTGATTTTACGCTTTCCATATCCTAATATCATCCAATAAAAATAACTACAGGATTTTTATGGTTCTCCTCTGCGGGAAGTTTTGTTACTTCCCATTCCTTATCTTGTAACTTAACTAGCTATATATTCTACAACAAGTATATTATTAAGTAATACAAGATTATATTTAAAAAATTCGCTAAAGGAATGCTGGAATCAATGTATGGATGACTTTGAAAGAAAAGTGAATGAAATACCAGTGGTGAAAAGTGTCATAATTAAGCCTACCATTTTAACGAGATTGCTACTCAACAAACCTCGTTTTGATGTTACAACATTTCCTTCGTGCTATGTATCCAATACATTACTGCACTCAACAACTGGTTGATGTAGCACTTATCATATTTGGAAGTGATCTATTATCGCCACTTAAATAAAGGAAACAAAGAATACGTAACATTGATCTCTCTTGCTGGCCCTCTTTTGAGCAAACTATTTAAGAGTATTGAGCTCATTTGATCAAAAGCTCCTATTTTTATGATGTCCAAGTTAAACATTAAAACCTATCAGGAAATTGTAGTATGGTGATATCAGAAACAGTCAAGAATTTCTTGAGTATTATATGTCATAGTATTGAAAATATTCCACCACTGATATGTGAATTTCAGTTATAGGACAAAAGCGTTTGAAACCAATCTGACCAAAGTATAGATGACAAGAAGAGTGCAGACCTGTTGAGTCACATTTCACGATTACCACCACAAAAATCTGACCACCACCACCTCCTTAACATACAAATTTGTCTTTAGCAATACAAGAAAGATAATATTTCCAGCAAGGCTTTCTTCTCTCACTAACTAGCTTACAAAAGACCTTTGATATTCAGTTAGGAAATTTTATATTGTCACTCGTCCTTTGTTCTACTTTCATATATATATATTTGCTGTTTTCTCTTTTCGTTTATATGTTTATCACTTTTGAACGCTTTTTTTTTCTTGCCACCAAAAATTTGAATTATTACACTAAAAGTTGAATTGTTGATGTCGAAAATTACTTCTAAAACTTTTTGAAAACCAATTCTCGAATATGATTTTATGACCACTGATTAGCAACAGCTAAACGAAAACAACTTAGGAATGGTATGTCACCTTGTTTCTCAAACCATTATTCAATGTATGATATTATATCCAGTGCAGATCAATCATGCAATGGCTGCGGTTGACGAAAGATTTCCAACTTCTAACACACAGAGACTAATTAATTACACAAGTAGCCTGCTTTATTCTAGAAATTAACAATTCCGATCCAAAAAATAGAGATATGTCAAGATCCTCCATTGTAAATTTGGTGAAAAAAATTTGCGAAACAGTATGATTTTCAGTGAATTTTGCCTTGGGAAAGAGGGATAAGAATTGAACAATACAATATTTCTGAGAATTCTCTCTGGCATGTTGTATAAGTATACTAAGGTTAAAAAAGAGTGAGAAGGAAGGATGAAGGTAAAGATAAGAAATTGTTACCGATGGATGAGAGATTCTTTCAGGACGGGCCAAAGTAATAGGAGGCTGACTTGCTCCACGGCTCAAATTTCTTCTTGGCAATGTTTCCTGTCATCATCTGTCAACCACAAACGCGCCCTCCTCCTTTGGTATCGACCTCATTCTTGGTTTTGCTTCTTCAGCCTGCAGCACCAATGCCTTCCTCCTTCTCCATTTCCAGCTTTAGCAGCAATCGTTATAATAGACGTTGTAATGGTTAGTAGTAGCAGTAGCAATAGCAGTAGTAGTATTAGCTGCTGATTAATAGTATTACTGGTAAGCGGTAAGCAGTCAGTCGTCCAATATCGTATAGCTCCGACGTGTGTAAACCGCTGGTTATTGATCCATGATGGCTAGTTATAGTGCAGTTAGCAGTAAATAGTGCGTTGAGTTGAGAGAGGTGAGTGTAGATGTCAATGAGTTGCGGACCGGAATGGTAGTACTGGTGACAATGTGATGCCATCTTTAGATAACTTTGAAATTGATTAACGCTTGACAACACTCATTATCCCGTCATCTATCCTATATCGTTAAATTGTGATTTATTGATTTCAACCTTTGTGATGCCACTCGTAAGCGCTCACTCTCACTCACCTATCTAATACTGAACGATGGTAAATAATCAGTCCAGCCATGCTGCTTTAGAAAACATTTCTCGTAATTATTTCCCCGCTCTCTGCTCTAAGCAACGATATTGCTATAAATAATAGATAATGCAACGTTACCTAGCTCTACCTCTGTGTCAGAAACTCATAAAACATGTTCGTGAATTAGTTGCACGTCTTGTTCGTTCATATTTCGAGAACTTTATTACAGTTTGAAACTTCCTTTTGCTTTGTAATTTTTTATCTTGTTTTGTCGTTTTGAATGAAATTGAATCATTGTTTAATGAATACAGAAAGAAATTAATGAATTTTACATATGTGAAACAGTTTCAGAAATTAAATTGAGTGTTAGTGATCCCTTCCGGTCATTTTTTCATGTTTAAAAAGGAACTATTAAAACTGCAGTGAATTTTTTCTGTGCTACAGGCAGTGCTGAATCAACAAGTCAAACTTGTCTAAACGATGGCCTTCACTGCTAAAAATTCTATTTAGGAGTTGTTGTAGCATCACTTCCAATATCAAAAGTAAAGTTGAATGCAAATGAAAGAAACAGTTCATTTAAATAGTTTAGGAGAATATTGCCCCATTTTAGAGCAATCGTATATTTTTCTAATAGCAGTATAAAAGATATTTAGATGATGAAGATACACCAATTTATAAAAAATGCGAAAATATGACATGTTAACGTCATTGGCTATTTGTTGTGTTTGTCATCGTTTTGCGGTATAAACCTGTGTCGAGTTGTTTATTAGCATTTCACAATGCTTTCATCCCCCATGTATTCTATTCCTCGTTTAATTGGACAGTCGAGCAGTAAGCCTCACTGATTCATCTTTAATGATAATTATTGATCTTCATTTCACATGATTAACTCCCTTTTGAAATGCTTTCTTTTTGCGTTTTCTTTACGGCTCATTTTTTTAAGTCGCAGGATAACGAACGTTTAAAAAGAAAGCATTGACATCAATTATGACATTAATCCTTATGATTTTGTGTCCCTAAAATCCTATTTGATCTTTTTAATTAGAGATTGTCAAAATTCCAGATTAAATGAATTTCAAAATTTGACTCAGTTATATAAACCACACTTTTAACAACGTAATCGTCTAACAAATCACTAAAGTTCATCATTGATTACTATTAATATGTTGCTCCTGACAAACCAACCTGCTTAACGCCATGTTATAAAATGACAGATATGTCGTTTATTTGAATTAGTGATTTCTCCACTAATTCTGCATCGGCTTAAGAAGGATTTTTCTGTCCTTTCTCAATAGATAAATATTTTTAGTATGTTTCTGAATAACAGGCGGATGAATAAAGTTTAATAAAATAAGCATATGTGGCTTACGTTTCAGGGCTTAAATTACTATTGTTTTTATGTTTTTATCTTCAATTGTTGCTCTACAAATTATAAATTTATGATTTCACCAAAAAGTCATTATGTTTTCTTATATTATATATGCTTTTACGATACATGATGGGATATGCACGATTGCGTTTCCTCATAAAGTTAGCACATACCTTTGATTTCCGAATATAACTCTTTTTTGTTACTTAACAATTCTCTCACATGTGTTGTAAAAGGATATTTAAATTTTTCTTTGGCAGTAAGAAGATTTTAAACATCCTTTCTTATCAGATGTCAGAGAAAACGCAAAATGAAAGAGTGAATTTTAGTATCAATTTAAAGTTTACAGAATGTCTAAAAACACTCCCAAGTTACTAAGAAAAACAGTGTTAGTGCCCATTGTTATGTTTTTGTTATGGCTTTGAAATACTAAGAAAAATGGAATATTTACGGAACCGAGAGCCTTCTGTGAAGTTCTAAAGTTCTCTCCACTATTTTGGAATTTAGACTTATGTTTGAATGTGAATATTTATTTCCTCAGTAGCCACATATCGTTCATTCTTTTCTTGAATTATTTCCTCTTCTCCTTCCTCTTCTCATATGTTAGCTCAGGTGTTCAAATAACCTTTCGAAATATTAATTGTTCTACATATGAGTATTATTCATGTATATTTATATTTTTCCTCAGCGCTGCATATATATATATTTTTTCCTCAGTATTCAGGTGATTGAAGAAAAGCTTTTAATAATTATTCAAACAGTTAGCAATTATTCCATCGATACTAGTTTGCTTTAAAGATGAACAGTTTTAGATATTGGGGAACAAAAGAGTCAACAGTGTCAGTTGCTGATAAAGTCGCTGCGAAAATTTCAGACGTTTTGTGACCAACAGGTGGACACTAGAATTAACAGTGATCGTGTCAAATTGCAAACAGCTACTAAGGACTGTATTTACAACAGTATCTCCTTTTCATCATCCTCAAAATGGTGCATGTAGGAGGAGCGAAGGGCATAAATCATCCTTGATATCACGGCCTTTTTTCGAAAAACATCTGTCGGTTGTGCCGGAAGAACCTGAAACCTATATTGATTCTAATGCTACCTTATATCGAGTTGGTTCTCATTTTCGAACCATTTCAAAACTGGTGCTAAATTCATTGGATAAAGAGTGTGATAACTTTAGTATAGTGATCTCCATAAACTCTCAATAATTCATGACTGTCGAAAATCAAAAGATTTTGGGAACATCATTAAAAAATTGTGAAGACTCTTTCAGTTCTAGTTGATAATAGTACATCGGATATTGATGTGAACTTCAGTCACTTATAAAATAATGCCGGCAGTTGAGCGTACTTCACCAGAATTATGCACAAGTAAGGATTTAGTGGAGAAATATGTCAGTAACGAAAGCATGGCAACCAGTAATTGGGATCCGACACTTCTCCTAAATAAACTGTACGAGGTGACGTTTAAAAATTTTGGACTTTCATATGATTAAACTCATAATGAATGGAATGATTTTAAGTAAATAAAATTATTTCTGGGATGAAGCTAGTCATGTCAGGCAAAGATTATGAGTTCAGGAAATTGAAATTACACTGGGCTGCATATTTTTTTGGTTTTTTTACCGTGTAAAATTAACTATCAGAAAGTTTTCCGGTTAAATATTGATAAAACTGTAATGATCAATTATTCTACAGTTGTTTGATAGCTCGAAATAATGAACGTGAATGAGAAATACGCCTTTGATTTCATATATTGATTTATATATCGTTTTACCAACTGAATTGCACTTCATCTCCATAAATTTAGCGAAATTACAGGTCAGTTATGAACCGCGCAAGGAGTCAAAGCTTAATCGTTTCACTAATATGGAAGGACATCTTGAAGTTCCCGTAGATGACGAAAGCATATACGCTGAATTGCAAAAAAATTGGGTGCAAAAATATTTTCGAACTAGAGATGGGCGCTTGCAGTGGTTTGCTGTGAGTTATTTCTTTCATTATATCAAGAAATAATAGCTTAGATCAGGGATGAGTTATATTAAAATGATATGAGGCAATTTCACAACAGGCATCCTTTGAATTGTAGCACAACATCCGCGAAGAATTATTTAGTTCAACACCAAAAAATGCCTGTAATTTCTAGACTTTTTAGGTGTAATCCCGTCCTTTTGTGTAGTTCATCAATGGAAATCCTTGCATTGTTGGAAAATAATTTTTCCTAGCGTTGTGCAACGGGGAAGGAGGGAAGTTTTTCCAAATCAACAATGTTCTGCAGTTGGAGTTACCTTTTGTTTGTTGGGAGTGAATAATGAGTACATTCTTTGAATTTTCAGTCACATTTCGCAGATGATACTCCAGTAGGGGAAGTGCTGCTTTCTGGCTGTGAAGTAGATGCCAACAGGGATGAAAATGCACTTTATATACACGGCGGGAAGAGTCATATCAGAATGGTGTTGAGGTCACTTTCATATCAGTCATATTTACGAATTAAAGTTGATTCTGAGGAGTATATTGATATTGATCCCATTAGGACTTTTTGTTTTGCTCTCAGTTCATTACTCACAGATGCAATGTGCCGTTTGTAAGTAGTTTCTTTGCTATTTTTTGACAAAATACATACATATGTATTATTCACTTTTAAAAAGAAGTTGTTCCGTTTTCAGTAATAATTATTTCGTATTAGTGAAGTGTAGATTTCTTCTCCATCACTTTAATGTATCATATTTTGGAATGTTTATGGTCATCTGTTCTACATGTGTGGCTGTTTAGAATTCCGCCAGGAGCCAATGTATTTGATAAATGGAGGAAGGCTATGAACAGTCATGCGGCTTCATCGTATCTTGATACATTCGTTAATCCTGTTTATCCTCCACTGCCTCATATCACCAAGGTTGTTAAAATATTTAGAACTGATTATTCATCTAAATAACGTGAGCTATAGAAAATGGAAAACTGCGATCCTACAATCAAGTACATTTTTTGTTCCCTACTTCTTTTCCCATTTTTTCCTGTTTACTCAAAAATATTTCACAGTTCGTATATGAATGTTTTGAATGTCTTAAGCATTAATTCGTATGCGTGCTAAGTGAATTCTAAATTCCACTTCTTTGTGCATAAAGTAGAGAGAATTGAGAATTACAACTTGTATTAGCTTCCTAAGTCTACTTTATCAATTCCATGCTTCTTATTTCATCCAAAGGAAAGGACTCAAGTAGTGAACATTAGGTCATGAATAATTTCAAGTATTCTGTTTCGCTCCGGAAACGTCGTTTATGATCCATTTTTTGTTTGTTCAATTCTATAAATGATATGAACCAACTTTTATGCGGGAACTTCCTATTCCATTTCTGTACTTTATATAACATGCATTTGCAGAAAGTCGCTATTATTGAGCTTGGATCGTGCTCAATGCGTGCTGGTGTATTAACAATGGAACCTTCACTACCACAGTCATTTTTTCCAACAATAGTCCTTGTTAAAGATGATGGTAAATTCATTGTTGGTTGTGATGCACTGCTACCTGAGGTTCGTTAGTTTTTGGTTTAACACAGTTTTGTTTTTTGTGGGATGAAGCACTTTAAAGATGCTTTAAGATTCAGTTCAAAATAGTGCTACTATGTAATGTATGTGATATCACTGTTAGCTGAAAAATATTTCACATTTTATGAAATAAAATTCCAAATTGTGATGTGTTTTTACGTCGTGTAACTTTAAGATTTCAGTACAGTTCAAACAGAACAATATGATTTCAGAATCGTCGTAAGGGTGAATTGATAAGACCACTGCGCGCAACGGATATTTCACTGGATCGGTATGTTTTTCACCGACCAGCTTTGAAAGCTTGCTTGCAGAAATGTGTTGATGATTTGAAAGTCGATCCGACTAAGTATCGGGTAAATGTGTAATTTTTCTCCTTCGTGAAATAAGTTGTGTTAAAGATAGAAATAAATTGTATATATTTGAATTGCTTAACTGTAGAAACAGGTATATGTCTTATCTTTTTTATATTTATATACTGTTTTTATTGTTATTAGTTTTATTATTTTTTTTTGTTTGGATAATGATTAATAGGCACTTAATAAAACATAATTTTTTAGGTTTTGCTTTCAATTCCGCAAAATATTCCTACTGCTCTCATTGCGGATTTGTTGAAATTTGTTTTAGAGGAAATGTGTTTCCAGGTTCGTCATTTTTTGTTTTTCATGACATTATTTTTTGTTAATATTTTTTGGTACTTTTTTAGACCAACATATATAGATAGAGTTCGTTTTTTAGTAATTTTAAGTGTCTTAAAATCCGTTTTTTCAAGGGTGCAGCGATATCGCGTCAGCCAAGCCTTGTACTGTATGCCTACGATGTTGCTACTGGTGTCGTCGTTGATATCGGCGATTGTGTCAATATTGTCCCAGTAATCGATGGTATGTTCATAATCACATTCTTTGACTTCTTTGCGTATTATTTCCTAATTTCTTGGAATAAAATTGTTCTTTACCCAGTAATTGGTATCTGCTTGATGCTAGGTTCTATTTTTAAATGGTTGACATCCACCGCTGTTATGCGCAATTATGCGGTATAATTCCCGTCAAGTTTAGCAAGAATGATACTTAAATGAGGAGGCTGCCAGTATTTACTCGTCAAAAGTAAAAGAAATTTCAAAACATAAAAAAGTGACATATATGCATATAATTTCACTTTGCAATAATGGGGAAAATTTCCAAACATAATTGTTAAATATAAAGTAAGAAATGTTTAACATTCAGAATTGTACGCATCTTCATTGATATCGTTTTTGTACAAAACGAAGATGTAATAACACAACCAGTATTTACCGAGATTATTAATAAAAGCCATGCATTTTTAAAGGTTATGTTGTCGATAATGCGATTATATCATTACCGTGTGGCGCGACTCAAATTATTAATGCTTTACAAGCAAAACTTATAGAATCGAACGGCAGTTACACTTTTCAATCATCAATTGAAATGCTCATTTCGCGATTTGTTATGGAGCAGGTATTTATTCCTTGTTTTTCCATAAGTAGCTAATTGTTTTAATATTTGATACACGTAATTATGTGTGACTGGTTTTGTATTTGAAGGCATGTTTCGTTGCTACTGACTATGATGAAGAAGTTAAAAAATGTTCGAATAACATTTGCGACATAGATGCAGTCATTTCGATTGAACAGTTCGAACCAACTAGTGAAATGATGTCTTCATTCAAAGTATGTGATCATTATATACTTTTGACTTGCAACTAGTTATTAATTGAAATATTTTCATCGTTTATTCGAAATGAAGCTTCATTTCAGATAAATTCTGCTCGCTTCACTACAACTGAAGGTTTATTTAAACCAAAAAGGTGGGGTCTTGATACAAAAGCGCTTCATCAGCTAGTATTTGAAGCTGTGCAGTTATCACCTATTGATAGTAGGAAAACATTGTTCAGGTAAATTCATGCTTGTTCTTGGAGTTTTCACTATCTTCTGACACAGATTAGTCTGAAAACATTTTCATTTCGTGATTTGAATTTCGAGTTTGTTTTTTAGGAATATTTACTTGGCTGGTGGCGTCTCTCTACTTCCTGGTTTAGCTGAAAGATTGGAAATAGAAGTAGCATCACTCGTGGCACCAATTATACACACCCAGGTAGTACTTTTACACTTTGCTGGCATTATAAAAACGTTCAAATATTACTTGTGTTCTGTTGGTGCTCTATCATACTTTGTCTGAATTTTTATGCTTATAAAAGGAACTGACTTCTTCACTGCGGAATAGGTTGATTATACACAGTGTTCACTTCTTTTCTCCATTGTATTTAAAATGATTTTCCCTTTTAACTTATTCCATTTATAAAATATAATCATGAGACTTGCATAACTGCGTTCAGATCAGTTTTTCTTCCATTGTCAGTGCAGCAGCTTTCCATAAATTATTTTTCCCTGTTCCATCCCTGCTTTACCAAATTTAGACTGTAGCATGTAGCAAACTACAGCAGTAGGTTTCCCCTCAAATTAAAATTTCCTAGGTAATCAATATTATATATACACAAATAAATATATATAATCAATATTTACTTGTATATTAATATCCTTCAGGTCCATCTATCACCGTGGAGGTACAACGCAGCGTACCTAGGCGCACAAGTAATTGCTTCAGGTACCCAGTTTGATCAGACTTGTATTACACTTGGAATCCTCAGTGATTTTCTCCATCAGCTGCAAAATTCCACCTTTTAATGGTAGTTATAAATTTTCAGTGAAAATTTTTTGTGGATCAATCATTGGATATACTTGTAGTATGGAAAATTTTATGAAAAATTTTATTACAATTATCACTTTGCAGTAACTACCACCATATTGCCATTCACTGCCTGCTCTTGTGATATTATCGCTTAGTGATGATTAGTAAACACTGTACTGTTGTTCTCAATTAGGCATTTGTGTGAAATATGCGGAGCTGCTATAATGAAATTGCATTCGTGAATAGTATAGGTTTTTCATACTATGAAAGTTGAATTCAAGGAATTTCATAACGAAGTAATCGTCGAGATTTTGGAATAAGAAAGACGGTTTGGTGTGCAGTTTTTGCATCAGCTAATTTCTTGTAGCTATAATTTTGTGTTTTCCACATTGTTTTAGCTAAAACATAATGTGATCAGAATGATTTTGATGCAGCATAATGTGGACTATTTCAGTGCAAATGACTGTTTAATTTTTGGTTCTATCGTATTTGGAAAATAAAGCTTATTCCTATTTTTGCTCAATTTTGAATTGCAGATTTCGAGAAAAAAATTTCACTCCGTTTATTGGTAGGGTTCCATTTGCTCTTATTGCAAATGCTTTTGAACTTGAGTGCGGTCTTCTTGACAGAAACAAATTTCAGTTTCAGGTTTTAAGAGGATGAGTATTTAAATGGTGGGGCAGGAATTACCGTTACATTTTCCAGCTTCTATAGGTTGCGAGCGGTGTGATTGTCGACATACATAGAACCATTCTCATTCTTGGCCGTCTTGTTATTTCCCCCTAAGCGTCCACTGCAATATGCCAAAAAAGAAGTCAGGTGCTCGGAAGAAGGCTGAAAAGCAACGGGAAATTCGAAAAGAAATCCAGAATAGTATTGTAAAAGATATTACACGTCATCCATGCAATGAACTGATGGCATGTTCTCATTCTATTAATATTTTTCGTCTTTCCATCAATTAGGCTTTACTTAAAATTGAGTTATAATTGTGTAAATAGCTTGCAATTTAGCAAAAAAATGTCGAAGTCTGCTTCATTTTCTTGTTTTCCATGAACTTATTTAAAAAATAATTGCTAAATGCAGAGCAGATTAAATGTAATCGGATGGCATGTTCCGGTTGAGAGATTTCAACAAATTTCTAAAATGATATCCGGTTTTTTCTCTGCATTAGGTACTATGAAGCAGTGCTTTTCCTACCCGAAACGCAAGAATTCCCAATAAACGGTACTGGATCACGAATCAACTTTTTCCACTAGCTATTTTAACCATTAGCGGTTTAAATCTGCATAATTTTTCAGCAGTGCGATAAATGTTCCCGAAACCAGAAGACTCGAGCATTTTGTTATTTCTGTAATTCAGTAAATAAAGCACCAATATGTGCAGCTTGTGGTAAACAGAAATGTTTTATGAAAGGGGGAGATTGTATTACCAAACATGCTGGGAGATGTGTAACGGGTTTGATTTAGCTCTTGTTTAAATTATTCTTGTTAGGATATGGTTTGCTATAAAGTAACGGATTTATGTGTGATAATTCATATGAAAGATCACCAAAGTTGTTTGTATAATCTCACTGAATACAGATGTGAAAATACACGAGACACTCCAAGTACACTGACCTGGATAGATAGATACCACATGCAAATCAGACAGTCTGAGGCAAAGGACTGAGTGATTTATGTAACATGCTGTGAACTTTCTATGTTGTCAGTGTTAATCTAATTACAGCGAGAAATAAATGGATGAAAAGCAGTGAAATGCGAAAATGAGATTCGGCTAATGTAGTAGTACAGGAAGAATAAGTAAATTAAGTAATCCACATTACATTTACTACACATCATTGTCATACTGCTGACATCTGTGAAAGCAAATCTGATGTTCAGGTTTGCAAATGATGGGCGCACTATGTGATTATTGTGAAGCATTCATATGCCATAGTAAAAAATGTCTTACAACTCATCCATGTAAATGTCCATTGCGCGGTGCTCAATGTATGGAATGCAAACGAAACGTGTGCGAACACGGTTATTATTTTCCCTTTTTGAAAAACTTTATTCTAAATGATATTCGTGGTACTATTTCAGAAATAAAGTCAGAAAGAAAAGACGGATGGAAAGACATGCTACGAGACTTATGCGTGACGTTTCGATTTTCTTCGCTTTTTCGTTCTCTGCTTCAGACTTGATAAGTTTAAGGTGGGCGAATATATCAGTGTGCTTTTTGTCAAGATTTTTTGTGTGAAGATGATCAATTTGAACATCAGGCAAACTGTCAACGTCTTGAGAATGAAAATTTCAAATGTAAGTGTACAGACTTCTTAAATTCATTTTGTGTTAACATAAATAAGAATTTCTTACTGTTTGAATGAAGTTTCCACAGCGAAAAAACATTAATATTTCAACGATAATTTTTCGAGATGTTGGTGAAACAGATACTTTTTAGGTATGTCATGCAATCGCTTTGGCCTATATACATGTCTGCGATGTAAGGTCTGTTGTTGCAATGATCATGTTCGCCGAAAAGGTTTTAAGTATGATAAAGATCATAAAAACTTACCATGCCCGAAATGTGGCTATCCAATCACTGAAACGAAGGAGTTCAGCATTTCAGGTAAAATCTACTTGTGTCCCACTTTGTTACAAATAATTTACATCTTTTTATCAACTTTAGATATATAAAACTTTTTTTTTTCTTTTACAGCACGAAAATATGTATATGCTCGTCAGACTCGTGCATTTCGCAGCCGTGACGATGACCAGAAGACAGGCAAATTTAAGCAGTAAGATAAATTCGATGATAGAAAAGTTCTGTGGTGTTTATTTTGGTTTTAACTTTTATGTTTTCACTGCAGAAATAATAAAGATGGAGACTTCAAAGGTGTAAATTACGATGAAGAATCTGATGACGATGGAGGCAGTGATAGCTCCAATCATTACGATGAAGACGATGATATTAATCATGACAACGGAGATAATAATACTAATCATGGTGATGAAGACTGTGATAATGGTGATGATGGGGATAATGGGGACAATTGTGCTGCTGACATATGATCATGGTGACAGTGTGTTGCTAACAAGGAATAAATAATTGTTTTACAAACTCTTTATATGTTTGTTGAAACTAGGGAATGTTTGTCTCATCAAATGTGACATTATTTAGTGGAAGCCATGTATATTCATTCTATTGGCAGCTTTGATTGCATACGTTTGGTTGCATTTAAGCCCGCTAATTTATTTGTTTACAGGTAAGCAAATGAAAGTATCTTTTGTCAGTGCTGTTTGTTGACTGAAATACAACATCGCAACTAGTTGAAAAGAAGAAAGTGTTGCCTTCTGACCGTCTAATGATGCTGCGGATTTGACTGAAAAAGTTCCTAATTATGCTGAAAAGTTACGACTTTGAAAACATGGTAGTACGGTAGTGCATAAATAATCAAAATAACTCACTTTGGATTGAAAAACGAGTTTCTGCTTGCAATTGGTAATTGCTTTAATGGAATTTTCAAGAAAAATTTTTTAAGCTCAATAAGATAAGTGAGTGGTTTCTTCGATTCAAAAGTTAATGGATAGAGAACGATATGATTGTGTCAGTTCATCTACTGCACATCTTTATTTTTCATGAAAGAACTGGATTTTGGAGAAGTAATCACCTTGACTTTTCCTATAATAAATAGACGCTCATTACTTTCTCTATACTTCGGCAGTTCCAGTTGAAAGAAATTCTTCCAGAAGCAGTGGACCTCATTTGTCGTTATGTTTTACCTTTTAAAGCTTTCGAGAAGTGTATTTTACTTATTCAGATTAGAATTAAAGTAATCAATGGATATTAAACCTCTAATGAACAGCTAATTTCATAGAGAAATGATTATTATTGGGTTGATGAAAGTGAAGGAGAAGATTTGACTGTTAACAATATATTATTTCTCCTTATGAAGTCCAGTAATTATAATATTAAATTTAGGCATATATGTAAACTTCAAGGAAGACTTACTGTTTAGATGTGGGTAATTCTGTGCTTGTTGCATTATTCTGCATTTAATATATTACATCAAAGCATAGCAACAAGCGTCAGTTTTTTTTTTATTTTTTCATAACTTTTTGGTTCTCTTTTTCAACCTTTTTTTTGAATGAAACATCAAAAACTGATTTTTTTTTTCAACGACGTTTTTAAATTATGTTTGACTATTCCACAATCAGAGTGATCAAGAAATGTGCTTTTATTTATTTGCTTTTTTTTTTTTTCCAAGAGTACATAACTTTTCTTATATTGAGTTTTAGGTGTCACGTCCCTGCCGACTACCTCCCGAGTATAATCAGATGCCAGATTTTGCGAGGGAAAAGTTGCGACATATCTGGTAAGCCTCGAAATACAACTTAAAATGTTTCTTCTTGTTTGTTAATGTGAAGTTTAGGAGTCATTACAAAAAATGCCAAGAATTCATTTTTACGACCATCATGAGAGTAGTCTCCAGACCAGTTTACTTTTGAGCCAGGAAATTATTTTTTCGGGAACCTTGAAATCTCTTTTAATGTCTTTTGACTATTTATGTTTGATGGAAAGATAATAATGCGGCTGCACAGGGAAAATTACAAATCCGGAGAAAGCTGCGTTGCGGAACAAATTGCTACTGATGTTATCCTTACAGTCGTTAATATTTTCCCTACGAAATATCGTCATGCAGGTTAATTTTAGTATTGGTAGTATCAATCAGCAGTGCAAACTTTTTAAAGAATCGTATTATGATTGAATTAAAGGCCTTCAATTCCCATTCTTCCACCTTTTCATTTTGTATGAAAAAGTGGTTTATATCCATCAAAATTTCAGCAAACGAAAAAAATTCAAGTATTACATAGTATGAAATTCAGAAGTATAACATCTGACAAAAGCTCAGTTTTCCATGGTAAAATCAAATTTTATATCGAATGATGTTTAACAGCACCCACATATCTAACTGCACGAAATTCTGCATCTTTTCAATAGCTGACCCTACTTACATCAAAGGCACATAAAAGCAGAAGTGAATTTCAAAAGGCGTATCATACCGAAGATTCGGTAACCTAAACCGATGATGATATCATCAATTCAAAAACCCCAATTGAAAGTGGATCCTCATTTTGTTTAAGATTACTGCTTTGTAAAAGCATTTCAGCATAGAAAATATGAAAAGAAACAAAATGTAATTATTTCAGTAAGTTCGGAAATATATAGCAGTCGTTATGGATATAATTCGGTTAGCGACCGCGTTTCTTCAACTCCAGAAAATGAAGCTGTTTATGATGAAGTGCCTGTAATGTTTCTTAATCTATAATGCTGATCGCTCACAGCAATCAATATAACAAGAAACTTTACAGATTTCGGAAACTTTTGAACTCCCGGAATTTCTAAAAGATGCAAATAAAGATATTATCAATAATTTTACGAAACTATGGAACGACCGAAACATTCCATCCGAAGGATTACGTGAAGAGATGGTAAGAATCCTGTCAAGTTACTGAAAAGTTATAAATGACCAAGCATATTACAGATTCAAAGTAAGCAGTGATTCCAAGAAAAAAGATGTGAATAATGCAAGTTATAATTTTCTACAAGCGTTTAAGGATATCATATTTCATTTCCCAGAATGCACAAATTAAAAGTCTGAAATCATTTCCGAGATCTTTTATATTTTCAGATTCATCTGCTCGCCGTATCATTATTAACTAGAAATCAGCTTACTGCTTACAACCAATATATGAGAGAACGCCGACGCTGCCAGCAACAGTTGCTACTGCATATGCGCCAAATATCGGATGAAGCACGAAAAGCGCTGAATATTCTCGCTTACGCAGAGCCTGATGAGTGGTTTGGGGTAGGTGAACCATTCAAAACATTACATTTGTTTTTTCTATAGGAATTTTTGCAAAAATGAATTTGAATTTATGTTTTAATTAATTTTTTCAATAATCAAAAGACAAACCTTTATAGTAATGAAATGAAAAAATAGTAGTGATCTTACTAATACTACAACACGAATTCGTTGTAGTGATCCTTCGAGATTTTCGAAAAGCTCATGTGTGAAAATTTATAGATTTCATTATGTACACGTTTTTATGGAACACATAGATTTAACGTTATACACAGAATAATATCTGGTCTGAGCAGTATTTTAAAAAAGACAAAATTAGCACTTTGGTTGCAGAATAATAAACTATTTTTCAGATTGTCAAAAATTTTCCACGTAATATTCGTCTTGAGTTGAAAGATTTTACCAGACGAAAGGGAGTGAAGTGTGTATGAAATGAATACAATATTTCCAATAATTTCAATAAAGCAACTGAAAAATGTTTGTAACTTACGTGCACGTACCTAAAACATCATCCCAATATAAGAAACATCACCAGACATATTTAATTGTTATTTTATTCAAATATTGCAAAATTTAAATGGTATGGTATGTGAGGAGAAAAAAGAAATTTGTAAAAGCTTCGGTTGATTAGGAAATATCTAGGACTGTTGCAGCTAACGTTGTTAAAAGTAAGCTGATGTTGAGATTTATATCAGATAGTCTCTTACATTTACTTCTAATTTCATAAAGTTAAGATTAAAAATAAATGAACCCTCATTGTGCAAGCTGTTGGTACTGTTATAAATTATATTAATTCCCTACGATTTTGCTTTTTTTAGGGATGACTGTTATGAAAAATTTTCAAACACCTTAAAAACACTTCTAATTTTCTGGTAGCTTTCATAATCTTGTCCATTAACTGAAGTGAAGGTTCATTTACATGTCATTTTTAAGCTTCAGGAAAATATTCGCAAATACGTCTTGTTATTCATCTTTTTCAAAAAATTTCATGATAACAAGGAGAGTTCTTGTTTCTGAAGAAAGCAGTTTCAAATCAAAATCTTTGTGCTAAAAAAATCCTCATAATACACTATTAAATAGTCAAAACGATTTTAAAATAACGCAGATTTTGTTGATATTTTCCTCTTTCTTTTTTTTTTTTAGATAGAGGATACTTTTTTTTTTTTTTTTTTTTAAAAAAAAAGGAGAAAGCAAACAATTCGAGCAGTCAAAAAATGATTTACTATTTGAATGAATTACATCTCTTGTCAATCTAATTACGATCTAACAATCAGAAAATTGTCAACTATATATGTGACAGTCAAAGTGGTGTAGCTGTGAACTTTGTTATAACAGAACGGATCTGCTTATACTGCTACTAGAAAGGAAAAACCAGTTCATCGTTCATGTCATTATCCTTTATTTTTATTATAAAATTTTGGTGCTGTAACACGACATCTTCCTCATCTTTAAATATCAATTCAATTCACTTTTTTTTGTTCCTAGTAGAGAACTACTTTGCACATGAAAATGTGCACTCATTTTCGTCGGAGAACATCGTTTCAGCAGAATGTACGTACCTCTGCAGTAACAGGAAGAAAAAAGTTAGTTAGATCGATGTATCATCATCATCATCATTATCCATTCAGTCCACAAATACACAACATATATCCCATTCATTCACATTATATTCTCGATCAGACCCGTTGAGCACAGAGATTTCGAACATTTAAACATTTGATCATTGGTTCACTTTTGATGATACATCTCATTTGGTTATGGACTAAATTTATCGCGTATCTTTCAAACAAGATTTCAAGTTAAAAAATTTTACATTTTAGAGTTGATGTTTTTATACGTTAGATTAAATGATAACATTCAATTTAACTGATAATCATTGATAAAGGAAATCTTTTTGAATGAGAACATGTAGCACGGGCTATATGTTGTCATTAAGAGCAGCTTTGAGCAACGCCAGTTAAAATCATGTGTTATTTCATTTTTTTTTTTTTATTTTAAAAAAAGAAAAATTCTCTTATTTGAATGTCGAAGTTGTCAAAAATTTACGTATTCCAGAATGAAATTCTCGAAATACTATCACAAGCAAAATTTTGTTTACACAGAGGCTCCTATTTGTTTATTTTTTTATAAGAAACTTATACGAGAGTGCAAGATAACTAACTGACTGTGAAATTACTTGTAATGCCAAGGCGAGATGTGCGAACTTACAAAATCGATAGTTGAAGAATTTTGTTTGAACCTAGCGGTGGTTTGCTGATGCTATTGAACTGCGCCTTTCACTCATTCCACTTATCTTTCCTCTCTTTCATCCCTCCTTCACTTCCCTACAAGAAATACGTAGTAATCCGACTGAAACACTTTCTATTCCATACGCCTAGGATGGAAGAGAATTCCGCACCACATCGTGTTAACAGTATCTTTGAATATGTTATCAGAACTTTGCCTGTTGTTTATTTCAAACATCAATTCTGTGATTTTTCAGTTTAATTATGATTTCAATTATCAATTCAGTTCAGACAAATGTATCAGATATGTCTAAGAGATGTATTGATGTTCATGCCATTATCCGAACTCCTACACAACATAGACACACCTGTTCCTCTCGCCTCCATTAATTTTCTCATAAATTATGGGCTATCCTCAATGTAATTATGATTGACCTTCCTTCTTTTGTCATTTTTCTCCATACTTTTAAAGTTGGTTATCTTTAGAGGAAATGATAGGAAGCACGGTTGACAAATTCTCGTTGCTTCAAATGCACTGTCTCTAGTGAAATATAAGATTGTTTGAGAAAATACTTTAAAAGTCCTACTTATTTGATGTCGAGCTTAGTTTTCCTTTTTTCCTTTTTCTTTTCGCAGAAATTAACAAAAAAAAAAAAATATTTCCGGAAACTTTCCATCAAATCGTTACCAAATATCTACTGAATGTCACTTAATTTTTAATAAATGTTGGAATTTTCCTTAACTGTTACAACAGTGTGCTACATTTAAAACTTCAATGAAAAAGTTCTTTAAAGAATTACTAGGTGAAAATTACTAGATGCCAAGACATTCATTCAAGCCTGAAATGAAATTCTGCCTTATGTGTTGACAATCTTTTCCATCGTCTTGTATATATCGTTTCATCAGTTATCAATCAATTACCACTAATTATAGTAACACATATTATTACAGCGTGTAGCATACAGTTCCGAGAAACACAAATCATTCTTGTATATATTTAGAAAGAGAAGTTGTTTGTTGAAGTTGGAATGATAAAACTGAATTGAATGCATAGATTTCCGGAACGCTCGGGTGATGAATCTCATGCCACATCTCTTCATCACTCAGTTGCTCAGTGTGCTTTCTCTTCAAACTGTTCACTACTTCAGTTTTTTACGACATAAAGCTGTCGTTTGACCCATCCTGTCCTTCACTACTATTCCCTCGATCTATGGTTCTCAGGATATCCGGAGATTCTTCCATAGCTCACTTTTGTCTTTCTGTATGTTTCCGTGGGCGTTTTTCAAACAGTGTACACATACACATACACATATATATATATATATATATATATATATATATGTATATATATATACACCCACACGCAGACGCACACACGTACACACACAAACAGACATGTTGTAATGCCTCCCGACTGAATGTAACTGCGTTGTCTCGCTGCTTAACACACACACACACATATATATCTGTAGAGTAGACATTTGGAAGGGCCTTTTCACTGCTTCCCTCTTCAATATGGACTTTTTGTCTGTGAGGAATTTTATGGATGGAACTGAGATAGTATGCGTGAAGTTCAGTAGCGAATTGCTATTTTTACACAGTTATCCATATCATTCATCTTCCTCTCTGCCACTTCAATCATTTCATCCGCTGACCCATTAGCCAACAAATTGTACTCCCAACTCCTCCTTTTCTAAGCTTAGATAAATGATAACAGCCCTTTAGTGATGTAGTAGTGTTCCTTCTTTTTCCCTGTGACCCGATTTACTCTGTTTGTCTCTTTAGGCCACTTGTTTTCATACCTTAAACACTTTCATTTCGTATATCATTCCACTTCAACGATCAACAGCAGTCAGTATATGCCATTGCTACGAAGCCATTGACAGTCCTACATAACACCTTGTTGTGTTTCTCGTCTGCAAGGCTTATTATGCAGTTTAGGCTGGATGTTTTCTTCCATTGTTCTCATAGCGCAACAATAATATCACATATATTGGCTGATATTAGTGTGTCTTTTTATCCGCTTATTATTTCATAAGACATCAAATTCATTATATTCCAAATCGGGTCTTGGTCATATTTCGGGAACTAGATGAATTTTCAACAAGTGATAGCAATGCGAATGAAGATTCCTTAATGACTGGGAAGCGTACTTCAACATACTCCAATAAACCAAAACCCTATTTTAAATATGGTGAGACTTTTTTAATTAGATTATCTTAGTAACATATCTATATTTTGCTTGACTGCTTCCTTGATAACACTGTTGTCGAAATTTCAGAGACAAATAGTCGACCCCATTAAGATGATTTACACTGCTAAGCGACATTCTTAAAGTTTTAGAAACCTCATGTACAATTTATGTACTGGTCAAATGAATGAATTGCGATAAACTGATTAGGAGAGGGAGAGAGGTGAAAAAACAATCATGGAGATACCCACTAACACCATTCTTATATGATGCAAAGATCTTGACATACCCCTGTAATCATCTGTAAATATCCCAAAAGATAATATATGGAAATTTTGAGTGGAAGTAGAATTTCTTACTGATCAATCGATATTAGGATTCCGTAAGCCTTGTTTTCAGTAAATATTTGGAATGCCAACGGTAGGTGTAAGAATGTTAACCAGTTTAAATGAAAGCAAGATCGGTGTTTTGTGCATATATCTGTAATTTCTGAGAAAAAGCAAGATAGCCACTTCCCAAAAACTATGAAAATCTCTCCTCACCCGTAAAAACACGTATATCTATGTAGGAAAATAAAGATGACAGATTGATTTGCTATTTTTTTACAATTACTATTAATTTTTTTAACTCTAAAATGTCTTTATCTATGATAAATGAAATTTTTAGAGGATTTTTTTTCCAGATCCATCGCGAGACATCATTAGAAAAAAAAAATCCTAGAACATGTTAAATTGGGCGGTAAATTAAGTGGAATCTATAAAGCACGAAAGAGGCGAGCTATTAATGATCGATTAGATAAGAAAAAGCGAGGTATGAAGAAGGAAATAATCAGTTATTAAATTCCAGAACGATCTATAACTAACTGGTGACATATCATGTTGTTCCTTAGGATTATTATTATTTAAGAACAAATCGTTCCTAGACTTAGCGTAGTTTTAATAACATGACAACAGTACACAAACTGTAAGACAACAATACCAATTTAATAGACAAACTATTATTTCGTTTTTCTCAT